TTAGGTAATAATTGTATTGATTACAAGATAATATGAGGTATTGGGAAGGACAATGCACCTTTTGTTGGGTCTAATTACATATTTTTAATTCGTTGGAGATCCTTGAATCAGAATAAACTACAGGGACATAGTTCCTATGTTATTATTCTATATTTATTATGATACAAAACTATGTTTTCATATCTCTTTTTTCTCTATTCCAGTATATGTATTTAGAAATAATTTCTTTATAAATATTGTCAATGTTTGTTGTCAAGTTCTAGAAAGGTGTACAATTTTTCACTTTTTACGGTCATATTTAATTTATATATTTTCCTTCTAAGAAAGCGATTCAAAAAGAGAAAAAAAAACACCCCCTATTTTATTGTTCCTTATTTTCAAGAATCCACCCCTCTATTTTTTTTATAAAACTTTTGGGATATTTAGCTCCTGAGTTAAGTTGCCAAAATTATAAGACATTATAATCGATCTATATAACGTTTAATTTTGTAGTAACCGATATTATATGACCTAGTAAGTTATTTAGTTTATAGATTGCGATTTTTATTTATTTTTTTATTTGATTCTCGAATGAATAAACTGTTAAGGAAATGCATTTTACGACCACCTCATTAGTGTATATGTTACACTCACACATTTCCATGGCATGGTTGATAATTAATATTTTGTCATGTGAAAAAATAGATGAAATTAAAACATAAAAACCATCCGTTCTTAATAGTGTTTTTTTATCATCTAATTATAATATCAAAATTGTTACATTTTTTCGGATATAATTAATAAGTTCGACATTAGAAGAGAGATTTAAATGAACTTAAGTATGCTATTTTAATAATATATATATATAGCTCTGTCCACATACAAATAATGTTTTTTTTTGAAAATTCAATGTTTTCATCGAAAACTCATTTGGTATTACTCCTACTAACTATGTATTTTGGTAGCTCAAATTTTTCTTAGTGCCTCTCGTTCTCGGAGAAGCGAACGTCCGAGGCGTTCGTTCTTGTTCGGGTACTCCCGGCTCTTTCCGACCACGGAGATAGTGAAGCTGTACTAACCGCTCAGTGTGGGCCGCGCCGGCCACCGTGACTTATGTTGTTAGTGTGCAGTGTTTGCGATCGTATCGCACGCAGACCATAGGCCACCGTGTGCTGTGTGTGTTCTGTGCCAGTACTTGTTGGATATATCTGTAAGGTGGATACAGTCTCCGGTTTGAAGTAGCTATGTAAGGCATTTATCTCATGTATTCGTCTTGTATGTATTTATTACTGCAGCATATCCCCTTTGAGTAGTTTTTATAAAAGAAATGTCGTGTGTATATACAGGTTTAAATATATTTATGTGTATATATACGTATACACACTTGGATTCGTTTTCCAAATAAATGGTATAGATCTTGATGGTAATCGTTTCTTTAAAGAAGAAAAATAATTCTTCGTGAATTAAAACTCCATATATAAAGAAAACTTTTTCTGAGTAGTTGCCATTCTATTTCCTTTATAAATACGAATCTGTCAAAAATTGTTTGTTCTTACAACTGTTACTACTGGATCAATCTTAAAAGAAAAGACACTGTAATGAATGATATATTATCTATTATAAAATTTCATTCAGAATATTTCTTGAAGAAAATCTTTTTCATGATTTAAATTAAATGCTCTACTGATTCTTCATAATAGCTCTATAAAAGGACAATGGATTTTGTCTTGAAGGCTAAAAAATTGATAGAAAATAGGAATAAACTTTGTTTTTGAAATATATATATATATATATATATATATATATATATGGATCATTATCTGGGTGTACTCATTTATTGTACTTTTAATTTCTTCTTTCTTGATTTGGAATATTTTTCACGGTTTTTACAAGCTGTATTATTTTCTTCAAATAATTGGAACATAATACTTTGGTCTGATAACATCTGTTATGATCGAAATTCTAATAAAAATATGTCATTGAATCGCATTAATCATTTAAGAAAAATATCGTGTTACAATGCAGCGTAAAATGTCATTCCATTTAATTGTGTACTGATACTTAGTTTTCTAATAATTATTTATAATTGAACAAATATTTATCACGCTTAACTAAGAATTTCAATAATTAATAATATTATTATTTTTTTTTTAATTAATTTTATAAGTACATCATTTAAGCTTTCTAAAATTATATTTATTCTGAGAATGTTAGGGACAGTAGAATCTTGACTGACCTACCTTATAGCCAGGTTTGACGCGACTGGTTTTGAAGTCTATTTAGTATACATATAGTTAAACATCGAGGTTGAATCGGTGCATTGAGGACTTGGCCCGATGTCTACAATCTATTTTTTTCGTTTGACATTATGTCAAAAAAGAACGACTTATTTTTATAACTGTTTAAAGTAGGTTTCCTTTAACTCTATCGTCCATTTCTGTGTAAGTATTCAGGCATTATTTAGATGCGTTTTTCCTCGATAAAAACCGATGTACTAGATAAACTTGAGGACATACCGTGGTAGCTTAGAACTATACTGTTCCTTACATCTCTATATACTTCAATTAGCATTTAATTATAGTATTTATTTCATTTTAATCAGTATATGGAACTAGATATATAATTTTCTCATTTATTAATTTTTATACTCTTCAATATCATGCGGGCATCATCTTGTGTTACAGTTGATTATAAGAGATAATGTTATTGAACAACTATCGACTTTGATAAAAAATAGAAAAAAGAATAGGCAAGTGGAGAAAGAGAATTCGTGGTACCATAGACCTCAACAACCTGTTTGCATCTGTGAACATTAAACGAACCACAGAGAGGACGTACAAAAAAAAAAAAATGATTTCCTGTTATTAGAAATTTTCATTGTGGAATTATTTTTAAAATTTTTTGAAAGTTTTACTGAATTTCTTGTTTATTTAATATTATTATAATAATATATAATATAATATTATTTATTTAATAGGCCAGGATTTAATATTTTATTTGGGAGGGGGATCTTTTTTTACGATAATTACTCTGGAAATAAAAAATAAATTTATAAAATAATGTTTAAGTGGTTCTTTAAGGCCTGTTAAAAAATAAATATATATTAAAAATTAACATAAAAAAAAATTAACAGTAATTGCAGGAACAATCATATTTTTGCCGATATATTTTTTTTTTCTCTCACGAACTTATATTTAGTAGCTGGAAATTCGTTATGATCTAAAAGGAGTTACATATTGTGAGTTTTTAAGTATAGCTCAGATCACTCACAGAAATAAATGTACACCATTAAAAAAAAAAAAAAATATATATATATATATATTTGTCCTCTACCTATATATATATATATATATATATATATATATATATATATATTTCGACTTCTGTCCAAAACATTTCCCGTCCCATTAACCAGTGAAAGAAAGTATAAATATAAAATTTTGAAATAGAATATTGTTAGTTAATTTTTTATTTTCCTAAATTAAACACTCGAAATAGTTTTGGACGATATAGATTAAAGGATTCTGACTATATTAAATTGCTTTAATTATCGTCTTTGGAATAACAAACAATATAATTTCATCATTTCTTAATTGAAATAGGACCATTATAAAATAATGTTACAATGGATTTTTATCATAATTATGAATTTCAGTTGAGTAAAAATTGAAATTTCCTTAATGAGTTATACTAATTATTATAGTTAATTTATTTTTCCATCCATCTCTTGTATTATATTATGTTTTCAGAAAAAAGAACTTAAAAAAAATTTAAAATATTCATGAAATATAATCCTTGATCAAATCGAATTTAAACAAATCTAAAATTATTTTTGTTTAATAGTTTTTCTCAGACAGTGATACCTTGATAGCAGTTTTTTTTCTAATTAAAAAAAAATAATTCGTTTGAAAATCATACCATATTGAAAAATTCTTGCGTATTTTATTCTTATTCCGATTTTCTCATTTTTTGTTTAAATATACAATTTATATTGATAAGAAGTTTAAAAAAAAGTTAACTGCATTCTGCCCACTGTCCAAGCCAGTAGTTGTTTAAATTTGAACTTATTAATTGTATTCCAGTATTCCAATGAACGGATATATTACAGTTGTATCGTGATAGAAAAATGTAAGAAATTTGAAAATATTAAATTTGAAAATTAGAAAAGAAAAAATTATATAGAATTCATTAACCTTGAGATAACTCAAAGGAATATAATGATTTTACTTTTTAAGAGGATTTAGAATAATCCGCTATTGATTATTTATGTAAGAAAGAACGGAATGACTTGATTCACGTGGGAGGCATCCTTATGAAACAACATCCTTAGGGTTCATTAAGCTACGCTGATTTGAGTAATATTCCAAGACATTAACACTGAATTATTTTGTTGGAATGTTTGTATATTTTACATTATACTTGACGTTCTTAAAAATAGCTGAAACAGTTTTCCATGTAACTTAAAAAATATACGCAGGTTCAGAATCGAAATTACGAAACTTAAATTAAAACTTCTAACTTAAATGATAGGCTTTTAAACTGCAATAAATAAATCGTATAACCATTATTAAAGTAAATTGAATATATATATATAATTCTATTTTTAATTTCTTATCTTTTTAAGGGAAGACAAAAAAATAAATAAATAAAAAATAAAGCATTGTGGTGAATGAAGTGGACATATTAAATTGTCAGAATAGATAAACAATGTACAATAAACTGTAATTGATGGTAAATCGACAGTTTAACAGCATTGAAGTTGAGTTTTGATTGAGTCCGTCGAGATTGGTGTACAGGAAGACTGTTTAATCATCGACATAGAACTTTACGGTCTTTCCTGTAAAATCCATTCTCTGTAAAATAAAAATAAAGTTATTGATGAAAACTATTTTAATTAAACCTGTGCTTTAGAAATCGTTAAGGTATCAGGATGGAAGTTTTCTATTTCTTTTTTTGCTATTTCCTTGCTTGATGTTAAGTGAAATTTATTTATTCCATGCCGATTTCTGGTGTAAAACCTCCTACATCCCGCTACCAGGACAGACTGACGGCTGAATGGATCGATGGATACCTGAGGCCTCGGTAACACCCCCGAAGGACTTACAAAAAAGCCCCAATCTTTCACTATCGGCAAGCGTTACGGATTCGATCCTCGGACGTCGGCTCATGGCATTGCCCTTCGCTCTTCTTTCTTCCTGGACATCGTCGTCCGTACCGGAGGCCTCTTTTTTATCTGCCTTGCCCTGCATCATGTCGGGTATCAACGGGACACTGCCTATCGGTTTGATATTGTGATTCATTCAATGGAGAGATAAGCAATAAAAGTATTTCTGTTGGATCAAATAAGGCAAGTGTCTGAAATTTTTAAATTCAAAGAAGCTACACGAAGAAAACTCAGAGTAGGTGATACATTAATAGTTTAATATGCTAGTGTTCTCCACTAACTCAAAATCTAATAATTGGATAACAGTGGACTTTCAGTGATTAATTTATACAATATCCTGAAATCCAATAGCACAGGTCTTTATCGCTCCTAGGCAGAGATGGGGAAATGCTCCTCTGAGTATCGAGAACCAAGTATTTTTCTCAATACCAATAAATACCATTTCATTTATGTAGTTAGTTCTTTCTTTTTTTCCAAAGTAATTATCGTTATATATATATGAAAAACAAAAAAAACTTCTGGGCTGAAGCTCCTCCCAAAATTAAATCCTGGTTCCGCTAGTGCTCCAAGATACAGATTTAATAGGAGTAATTTTATTTGTATAGAATAAACAAATAGAATTTACGTACGCTGCATCTGTCTCATGCAGTAATCTACTGTCTATACACATATATTTATGCACGTATATACTATAACATTTTTTTTTTTTTTTTTTTGGAAGACTTGTTATAGATGTGCCGTCTTAGGTTTGATTTTATAGGATCGTATCTTTTTCATCATTAAAAAAAAAAAGTTATCAATAACCTTTCCAAAAATGGTTAATTTAATAAAACGTTAAATTAAGACAAGAAACGGTTTTTGTAAAAATCACGTTTTTCCTCATTAAAAATCTTGACGAATTACTATATTTGTATTAAACTAAAGTTATATTCCATTGATAAAAAAAAAATTACCAATTTGATATATTGTTTTTAATTTTTTTTAAATGTATTCTATTCCTACTTGTTTCATCTTCTTTTAAAAATTAATATAAATGAAAAAAAATTAATGAAAAAATTGAGAAAGTGAATTAAAAAATTATGATATGTACAACCATATTTATATTTATTTTTAAGCAAAAATATTTGAAAAAAAATTAAAGGCATTTCCTCATTATGTAGTAAAAAAAAAAACGATATAACAAGTATTCCAGAAAAAAATTATGTATTTGTTGTTAAAAATGATTAAAGGGAACAGAGTAATTCTGTGAGTAAGACACTTCTGTGCTTCTGTGCTCCAGGTTCCGGGTTCAGGCCCAACTGTGACAGGTATTTATTTTATGTTACATTACCTGTGGATCGATCCTAGGGTCAGATAAATTCTAATTAATTAAGGAGGAAAACCTAGAGGTTATTCACGATCTCGGTCATCTCGCTTATCTGCACATTTTTTGGCCAAGGAATAATACTTCCTTACAAAGTACGGAACCCAAGACCCTCTGTGGATTGTAGAGGAACACATTTTCATTTTTTGAAGAAAATTAGGTATTAGATATAGGGCTGGTTATTAGGCAACTTAATTTTAAACTAAACCTAGTACGAACTGACTGTCAGTTTCGGAATAAGCGAATCTCAAGACAGAACCTGAATAAGACTGAATTGAAAATCACATTAACCTTTGATTTGGCATCTGACTTAAACTGAAATAGTAAACTCATGATGTGTCTCACAAGAGATTTCGGCTATTAAAGTATCATTCTGTTCATTTCAAATTTTCTTTCATCCAATACTATTATTATTCATTTGTGTAATACTTTTCGCTGTCTTCATCTGCAAAAAAAAAATATTCCATCTACGCGGATTATTGCCTGACAATTTTGGCTAAGGCCGCCGAGATTGCAAAAGTTTCCCAATTCCACTTTCTATTTTAACTTCAGGCCTCTTGGTAAAAAGTCATTTGTATAACAAATGTTATGCAGTTCCCTTAATGACGTTGTTCTGTGACAATAATTCTGTTTTAGGATATCAGAACGGTCCCAGTTTTATATTAGGAAATTTGTTTTGTGAAACATAAAAAAAAAAAAATTCCAGTTTAGACTTCAACTTTAACAAATTCCTGTGACAGTCTTCATTTTTCTAATTTACGTTTGTAATATTCATAAATAAACTAATAAAATCTTTTTTTAAAATTTAAATGCTACGATTTTGATATTTTATAAAAAAAATTACAAAAGTACATAGTAATTATACGATGTAATTTAATTACACTACTGCTTAAATATATGATATCATTACTTTTTAAGTTATATTTTGTTTGAAATGCTAGCAAATATTAGCTAGTACTAAATATAGACTTTACTGAATTATTACATAATTTTTGTTATGCTTGTGGCCATTAAACTTTCTTAATTATTAAATCGAGATGGATCTCCTATTTCTAAATAACAGAATCATCTCATTGTTAAGGTATCTTGGAGTGATAACAATTATTGTATTAGTTCGTGTACGAAAGTGAAACGACCTTCCAACGTTGAACACCCAAGAAAGCGTATAAACATTGGGAATGGTGCGATTGTAAAGACCATTCATTTCTTCTTATCTTGTATCGACGGGTCTTATCTTGAATCTATAAAAATATATATATATAAATATTTAACCATATTGATTTAGTGAACGAAAAAATATATCATGGTGGTAAATCCTTGTAAAATAAAATAACAAAATTTATTGTTTTGTATTTAAAAAAAAAAGGAGATGAGCTTTAGTTACTTTTTTTTATGTATTAACTTTTTTTCCTTCTTTTTTTAATGGAGGCATTTCTTCCTTTAATTCATAGAAGCTTTTTATTTTCCGTTTGTTAACGTTTCGGGCTTTTCACTGGCTATTTTTTTCTGTTTTAGATAAAAATACTAGTTTAAAACTTAAATAAAAATATTTGTATAAAACATTACATATGTTAGTGTGCGTGGTTCATGTATCTCATTTTGTGTTAAACAAACCAATTTCACAACATTCATCATATTATTTATTGTCTTTTATCCATGACTAATATTTTGCCATAATCTAAAATCATTTTACACTCTAAAATTACATTTTGTAGTAGATGAACTTTCTTGTCTTTGAAGTCACATTATATCCGTTATCTGCTACTTTTTTTTCAAATTTTAATCTTTAATATTTACAAGGATTTTTTATTTCTCTATTCCTCAGAAAGTGGTTAACTGCGTTTATGATATGAGTGAATCCAATGTTAGGAATATTACAAAGCTAATAATAATAATTTATTATGATGAAATAACTCAATTTTATTTTACTGTAATTTTTAATTATATTTATCTTATAATCAGAATGATTTTAAATAATTTTACAAACAATTTTTTTATATTTATATATTTTATATAAAATGTATTAATATGATATTAAAATCATCTAAATTATTGATGACCCAGGTTTTTTATTCGTTAAAAAAAAAATTAAAAATTCTAGTAATTGAGAGACCTTATAACAGAGATGAAACTACATTGTGAATAACATTCAGATTGTGTCTAAAATATCAAGAAAATTAATTATTAAATTATAAATAATCGAATAATTAATTTTATATTGATATAACGTGAAAATTGACTATGTTGATTAGTAATATAAGAAAAAAAAAAGATTCTGTCAGGTGTGGGGTTCGAACCCACGCTCCCATCGGGAACCAGAGCTTAAATCTGGCGCCTTAGACCGCTCGGCCAACCTGACTCACATACTCTCGGTCGCTTATAATTTTCTGATTAATTACTGTTTAATATCAACTCTTAAAATTTATTTATATTTTATTTATTTTTTATAATTTTACTAGGGGTCTATCCTCTGTCCGCCTAGCGTCGAATTAATTCCTATTTTACAATTTATACATTGTTCATTTAATTGTATTACTGGATGCTCAAACTGTATAACTGTTATTTACATGTATTCTGCAGTTCAGATTGTATTAGTTTATTTTGTATTATTATCAACATAAAATAAACAGAGCGAAACCACAGTTCGGACAAATATCTAATTTCTTTATAAATTCTACCGAACTCATTGTGAAAAATGCATTTTGAGGCATGTTAATAATTCAGTAATAAAAAAAAAAATACAAAAGAGAAAGGTTTATTGAACTTCCTAAATTTTAAATAAGACAATTTGGTAACGTTCCCAAGATTGGGAAGTAGGAAGAATGTAGGTGGGACTTGGTTTCTTATCTAAAAGATAAATTTTTTTTTCGCCCGAAGTTTCTAGATTAAAATTTAGGTATATGTTAATTCTCAGTGACCTTGGCTCTTTTACGTTTGACTGAAATATGACCAAATATACACTTTTTTTTTTGTAATATTTTAACATTCATATAAGTGAATAGTTTGCCACTTAAAAAAAATTGTTCTTTTTTATTAACTCAATTTCCATTATTAATTTGAAACTTAATTAAAAAAGCTAATCTATTATTTAATTATTGTTGAAGTATTCAAAAAACAAATAATAATATAATTAATATTAACATATAAGTATGCATTACAGTCTAAGTCTGTCTTAAGGTTTTTTTTCTAAAATAGAATTCTTTTATTTTTTATGCTTCGGTTCAGTTTTTAACTTTTTGAAACTGAAACATTCTACGCACTGTATTATACCGAATGTAGGCATGAAAGTTATAATAAATAACTAAGTATTTAGTTTGAACAAAATATTTGGTTTATTTTATAATTTTATTTCTAATTATATGTGTTAATATTATCTAAAATAAGAAGAAGAAATAGGAAATACACATTTATGTGAATGCAATTTAATTAAAATATAATATTATATTATTTGGTTTTACTTTTTACAATTAAAATTTAAGTCCTGTTGGATAAAAGTATGCCTATATTTAAGTTGTTATTTTGATTGGTTTAGGTTTCTTTTTTTAATATATATTTCTTTTTTTTAGTATCATTATTTTACTGTTGAAGGATTCAATTTGATTTCAATTGAAGGATTTATTGTACATAGGGTGTAAATGAGCTGCTCTTTTACTATTACTAATGTCGGTAATTGTGACAAAATATAATGTTACTTAATTAGGACACGTTTTAATACAAAAAAAAAA